ATATATATTAATAAAGAGCTAATATGCTAATGGGCAATACACCGTAACGGTAATGACCAGTCATTAGCATATTACCTGGGGCGTTGCTCTGGAAACTGGGTTGCAGCAGGGAGGCCCCAGAGGAGGTGGGACCGCCCCTAGCCAAGGAAGGCAGGGGTGAGAGCACATAGCACCCCCCTCACCAGTCCTTCACCACCCACCACTCGTACTCTCCATGGCCCACCTGCTAGTGGAAGGAGCACAGTGCAGCAGGCGGGAGGCTTCCACACTCTCCTCTGGCACCATGATGGGGCAGAGTTGCCGCATTGCTCCAGAGATGGGGCAGAAGCGGGGAGGCGCCCAGCAAAGGCGGGACCAGCCCATGGCTACTAGAGGGACTGAGGGCGGGGCTTGAAGCAGCCAGAGAAGGCCAGAGGGTTTGGGAGCTGGGCCAGGCGCGCTGGAGCTCTGCATGGACAGGCTTGGGTATCAAGGCAGGGCAGGGTCGCGCTATTTCAAAACACATGCTGGGCTCCTAGTATACACACACACACACACACACACACGCACGCACGCACTGAGTGGCCAGATTATTATGACCACTTTTTGCCTTCAATACTGCGGTGATTCTTCTTGGCCTTGACTCCCCGAGATGTTGAAAAGTGATGAGAGGAATCTGATACCATGCCTGATGAATAGCACTATCCAGTTCTGTGAAATTTGATGGTTGTGGAACCAGCTGCCAGATGGCTTTTAACTTCGTCCCACAAATGCTCAATTGGATTGAGATCTGATGATTGTGGGGGTCACCTAAGCAAGGTAAAGTCTCCCTCATGTTCTTGAAACCACTCACATGCCCCAAACCATAACACTGCCCCACCAGCTTGAAGGATTGTACTCATGCATGTGGGGTGCATGTTTTCATACTGTTTCTGCCAAATTCTCACTCTGCCATCTACGTGATGGAACTGAAAACATGATTCATTGGACCACGTGACTTTTCCAATGCTCGACTGTCCAATCCTTGTGTTCCTGTGTGAATTGGAGATGTTTTATCTTGGTAACTGCAGACAGCAAAGGTGTTCGAACAAGCCTTAGGCTTCCATA